GACACAAACTGAATTTGACATTAAAAGTACAAGTTCAATGTATGTATACAATTAAATTTTTTTTTTTATGAAAGCACGGATGATAGGAAGCATTATAAAATTTACCTATCTATTTATTAAATATATTATTAGCACATGTGTTTTATTTTATCCATTTAGGTAATTTAGATTATTGTTAGTTTATTAACAGATTAGGTGTATAATTTAAGGTGCATAAACACTCTCTTATTATTTTTTAATTAATTATCTTTTATTTTTATAATTTAAATTATAAAATTTTAATAAAAAGATAAATTAATTATATTATATAATAATATCTCTTTTGACATATTTTGAAATAAAAAATATGTTGGTCGAGCATTCTATAGAATCATATATATAGCATTCATAAACTATCAATTCTTCTATAATGATATCCCCACAGTCAATTTTTTGTTAGATAGTTATGAAAGTGGGTATCAACTTGCTACTTTTAGTAATCTCCATATCTTCTTAAAGTCAACTTAGAATAACCATATTACTCTCTGCTTAATTCATGATTTACAAATAAAAAACAAAACAACCACATATAGAAGATGGCATTCGTGGCAGATTTAATTATTATCATTATCGACACTCAACTTTCCTATTCTATTTTTACAAATTGGGCGACCAAATTTGCATATATATAAGAAGAAGAAAAAAACGTATCTTTTGCAGAATAGTCAACGTCTACTATTATTAAGCTTTCAATCTACAAATTATCAAATTTTGTGTTGGTCGCAGGGTTGTTTATCATCGTTAGGGAAAGAACAAATCTCATAAAATGTTTATGAGATACAAATTTTACTGTCTGTATTAATCAGTGTTTTCAAACATTTTATTATTAAATACTGGCTTTCAATGAAAAAAAGTAGGAAAACCCTAACGTGAAGAAAAAGATTTCGCTAAGGAACACAAAAACATTGTAATTGGTGGAAATGATGGTGCTTTAGATGCATACGAGGAGCCATCACAAGAAATCTAAAATGAGATTTGCAATAATTCTTGACATCGAGGATTAAATAGTACGGTCGTCTTATTAAATTTTTAGGGGTCAATTTCTTGAATTACTTTTTTCTTCTTTGAGTAAGAACTTCCGTTAATAAATCGGGTTGGCATGTTAAAAGTTATAAGAGTATGATTTCAGTAATTAAATGATTTATAAAATTTTATTGTATGAAATAAACCATGTCTCTCTTTGGACAATTACTAAAATTATTTATCCTATTAACGAAATTTATCCGGCCAACGGGCGGGCCCTGATCTAGTTTACTTATATAGTACTTATATAGTGATTTTTTTTTCCCAAGGCAAGCCCAAAGGGCATGGGACAAAGACTCGACACGATTACAAGACCGACTGAACTCAACGCGATAGTCTATAAGCAACCAGACTATCGATGAAAGAGCCTGATAAAGCCACTACATGGGCAGCTCTGAAGAAGCTCCGAGGAGCAAAGACACGACACTGACGAGAAAAAAACAAAAACAAATATCCAACATCTCCAAGATAGTCCCGTCAGCGAGTGTAGTTTCCTCCAACAGAATATGCAGAATGACCAACATCGGGTTGCCACAAAAAGCCACGACAAAGAAACCAAAATTGTATTAGATATCTTCGACAAAGCTTGCTTAAATACTCTAAATTTTATGTAAAAGCGAATAAAATTGTACTATCATCTGATAGATCGATGAAATTTATTTCAGTTACATAAATTCCTTTCATACCATATGAGCACCTGCAAAATGGAAGGAAAAAAAAACACGACTATGGTGCTAAAAATATATATCCTAAAAATTAAAAACATGCAGTATAATCTGCACTCTCGAATATACATCGCCAATGGTGTGATACAACACTCAACGTAAATCAAGACAACAATTAAGGAGATTATAAAATAGCTTTTGAAAAACCATTTAAATAAGTGAAAGCAGTTTAAATTCAATAATTACCTTGATCTCCAAAATCAGGGAAGATAAAAGCAATTTTATACGAACTCAATGATGTCAATAAAATTGGGGAAGAAATTAACTAAATAATAGACCCGCAGTCCGCACGATGAATGAGATACAGGAAACAAAAAAGGAGTCAATTAAGAATAAAGTAATTACAAATAATTAGCAATGAAGTTAAAAAAATTTAAACTTACCCATAAGTGATATACCTGCATGTACCGAGTTGCCGTCAGAAGCCCACAATTAATGGAAACATTAATTAGCAAATTCATTATAAAAGGTAAAAGGATGATAAATGTAAATAAAATTTAAAATTCACGGAAGTTCATGACAAGCTAATTTGAAAATGAGTAACCCCAATTAATGGAATGGAATAAGATTGAATTCAAATATTCAATGCATGTGGACAGAGACATAATTAAGTATTTAATATTGAATTCAAAAGGGAAAGACTATGATTTCGGGGCAGTTACCTCAATTAAAGGAATAATAATAGAAAATGTCGTCGGCGAAATGAAATCCGATCACCGGGAAAAAAATCCGGCAAGGGACAGAGGGCGATCCACCAAATCTGTTGGTCACACATGCGAAAATTTCATCCCGGGGTGAATCTTGCCGGAAGAGGTGTAGAGTCCCTCCGATTCCATGCTTACTCTAGGAGAGTAGGAGTCCCGATAATAGATTGTTCACTGGGAACAATATAGCCTTATGGCAAGAATCCGAGTTCCACCGAGGTGAACTATAATATTCAACCCGAAAGATACTAAGATAGTAATCCGGATTATGAAAATTGTTTTGTTCATCTCCCGAGCTGTCTAGCTCAACATGCTTTTTGGATGGTACATACCGATTGAGGATAGAAGCGACGGAATACAAATCTAGGAAAGGCACAAAACTGAGGAGTAAAAACACAGGAATAGAGGTACTTACCGGAATCACCGAAGGCGGCGTCGCAGGGGCGGTCTTGGAACCAATCTAGAATGCGTAATTCTCAATGCTGACAAAGCCCTTTTGGGGATTGATTTGAGAGGAACTTTATATAGTGATTTAGATGACTCATTAATTATGTAACTAATTAAACTCCTCATATAATAATTATTAACTCATTTAATTAAATAATTTTTTAAAATGGCTAGCCGAAAGGTTCTTGGGGCACAGACGTTGTCGGGCCAAAAGAAACCCACGGCACTGACGATGTCGACCCGGAAGATTGCAGCAGTAATGACCTCGCTAAGCCGAAGAAACCTTTCAGCTTGCGCCAGGTTCGGCTGCCTAAGTCTTTCGGCCTATCGTCGCCGCGACCAAAACCCATTTTCCAGGAGGCTACACCTGGAGACGGCCGACCCGACACTACACTGGCCAAAATTCATAATCCCGGCGGCTATCCGGACCCGGGCAGAAAGAATATGTAGGCAGTGGCGCCGCCGAACCAAAAAAAGATTGGCGACAGGGGATACGTCAGGCCGAGAGAATCCTACGGCTCGTGCCACGTCCACCCGTCGTATTTTTTAGTCTCGGTTCAAAATCTCTTCATTTTCCGCCAGAAAACAAGCACAAAACAAAGAAAAAGGTCAGGATGTACCTGGTCTGAAGTCCAATTGACGGCAGAGGTGGTTTTTGGCAAAGAACGGCGGCGGTTGCACGAAGTTCTGCCAAAAGGGGCGGTGGCCGGCGGCGGACGACGGTGGCTGGCGGCAGGACTATTGTGGAGGTGGCTTATTGTTTGATGTATGTAAGGGTTTGTTGTGGTGTTGAATTTATAGATTTTATTAGGAATTTTGAATTTTGAATTTTTTTTTTATTTTGCGGCAAATAGTCGTCTAACATAATATCGCTCACATGCACAGTTTGTATATCGCTCACATGTACCGTTCGTATAACACATCATATGAATACATCATAGCACATCTTTAGACAAGATTTAATCACAAACACGATTAGGTAGATTCAGTGATTTTTACTTTCAATTGTCAAATCATCCACTTCCCCTTGTATAACCAATAGATGTTGGAACATTGGAAACCAATAGATGTCTTAAACATCGCCAATCGATAAATTAACCATCGCCAATAACCAAACCTAGTAATGCTCGCCCAGAGAACTGGGCATATAACCATCATATCCAATCATATATATTGCATGACAAGGCACTATTACATTTATTTTAGGTGTACAAACAAATCTTTAGTTAGTCACATATTCATATGCCATTTTGCATATTTTTCCCGTAAGCCATACAGGTTAACCATGATACAATCCTGATTTGCATCCATTTCCATTCAGAAACGATTGATCAAGAAGTCATCGCAACTCGATTGAAGAACATTGGATTTTGGCCAAGTATTTTCACTGTTTCAGGTCTCCTCCTTTGCAAGCTTGGTTCTTTCAATTGGCTCGATGGAAATGAGATTGTGGGAGTCTGTTTTGAAGATGGAATCACCCTCTACAAGCTGGAGTGCTTGGTTGTTCAAGGAAAGGCCAAGAGGGTGGTTTTTAAAGCTTTCCAAAGCCTTGTCAGAACCGGAATTCTGCTTGAATTTGGCTAAGGCAGCGACGGTGTTCAGGAGGGGTACTTTGAAACTCCATTCAGGACAGAAGAATGAGAGTCGAGTCTCAAGGTTGATACCGCATGAAAGTATGCATCTTTTATTACAACGACGAGGCGTTGGATGATTGGAACGAAGATTGGAAAGCATCGAACGAAAGCTCCAAAGAATCGTGTCGACGCTGAGTTTGTCTTTGGAAAACAAGCAATATGAATCCTTATCAAATTAGGATTCCTTTGTTGTTTCATGTGATTTTCTTTTCATTGTTGATTTTGATTTCCTTTTCGAGTTGTAATGTGTTTAGAACTTCCTTAAGAGTTGTTAGGTTTAGTTAGAGTCTATTTAAGTTGAGTCTTTCGTTGTAATCGTAGTTTTTGCTCAATTGAATAAAACTGAGTGGTTTGAATTCCATAGCTTTTGCTATGCGAATTGTGAGATCACCCTAGTTGTTCCTAGGTTTGATCTTGAGTTTGTATCGTTCAAGTACACACCTTGTTAATGGCCAAGCATCGGCGACACCAATTGAACCTCTTTCCCTTTGTGAAAGTTGCATGAAAGGTTATCATCCAAACACACACAAGACTCTGTTTTGTGTTCTTCCTATCCGAAATTCAACCAATCCTCGATTGAATTCAAGGTTTTGCTTCTCTGATCAAATCAACCCAATCAGAGAGTTATCAAACCATATCCCACTAGTTACACATAAGCATCGCTTCATAAGCCATTCAGCCACTCGTTCGTCTGTTTTCCTTTCCTTTTTTACCCAACATCATCACTATCGTTAGTTGCAATGGTTAAAATCATGCACGAGATGGAAGTTGATCGAATCTGTATGCAAATTGCAGCCTAAGCAAGAACTGAGCTAGCTAGGCGAGTTCGGCCGCTGCATCAGCAACGAGAGAACCTCACTCCCAAAACTTAGTAGTGTCAGCATAGCACAGCCATCAGGGCAATCTAGGCTATTGAGACGGGAAAACGGTACAGAAATCTTCAGTTCAATTGCCTATGGACACTTGGACACCAACCCGGGAACAGGTGTTCGTTGCAATGGTTCGGAGCAAACAATCTCATCTCTGCAAAAATTTGGTGCAACTGAAATTTCAGCATTCACTGGTAATCATGACATGTTTTCAAGTCCAAAGAGAAAACGGCTGGTAGTAACTGGGTAGTTCGTCTCTTTTAGACCTGTAAGTAATGTAATAGCAAGAGATGGAAGTTCGATTAAGTTCTGGCCTTCTTTGGTGTGCTGTCATCCTCATGCTCAGGCTTGCGTTTTATCCCCAGGAAATGCTCGACCTGAGACATTGACGAAGAAAATCTGGCATAAGATTTTGATGCAGAGGCCATTGCTTTAAAAAGGACGAGTAAAGGCAGCAGAAACTTTATACGTGAGGGTCACACTACTCTTAAATCACAAATGCTAACCTTTTTATCACCAAGCATTGGTGTCAACCCCCCTGGAAACTCCTTTTCCACCGTTGCAAAACCACTCCTTGGATCACTCGTTTGCCTGCAATGAATTCGTTTGAGAGAATTTATTCCCTAAAATATGTGCTAATGATCATCATGTCAATAAAGACATGCTTATTACACTGCTCTGAGATCTTTCTAACTTCAATCTAATACGAGAAAGACAGGCAGGCAGAAAAAGAAGAGAATCATACCCAGGTCTCACGTGACCACTAAGAACGAGATATGGTGTCCTTAGCTGCGCCTGAGCTTCCCTCATCCTCTCCACGGATAATGAAGGAGTATCTGAATTCTTCATTTGCTTCAGCTTCTGCTCTTCCTGATATTGCTTCATCCGCTTCTCTTGCTTCATTTTCCCGGGCGCCTTGCCATGGAATGTATGAGAGATCTTCCTAAATGCCTCTTTTGGTGTCATCTGATATTTCATGGAAAACAAGTGAATACTCGGTCAGGACATGGAAATAGAAGTGCAAAAGTAGAAAAGGGCGATCAAGTTGAAATCCCATAATTGTAACAACATATGGTAAAACAACCAGTAGTTTAGAAACAAGATGCCTAATCGTTTCTCTATTATCTTTCCAGCAGAACATTGAGAACTATAGAGAAACACCTAGCCTATGATCTCATGCAAGATTGATAGGTAAGAGATACTGTCTTAAAAACTTCAATGAAAATACCAATAACTAAAGGGAGATGGAAGAATAAGACATGCAGAGAAATAAATGCTTCCAAAGCTTAATTAGGTTTCCAACTTAATGTAATGCAAACATCAAGTTTAAAAGTGAAACAACACATCAAAAAGCTGGAAAAGATAAGATCCTTAAATACGAAGATCCTTAAACAACACATCAAGGGAACTTACTATTCGCCCAAATTCATCCCTCCTCTCAATACGAAGATCCTTAAATCGATCGTTGTCCTTATCTTTATTCTTCTCCTTCTCCTTCCCGTCATCAGCATCTACAATGCCAATAAGCTTGCTCTTTTTCTTATCCATATTTCTACCACCCCAGTCAATGCTTTCTTTCAGCGACCCTCGCTCATGGAGCAGCTTCAATGCACCTGATAATCCTTTACCAACAGGAACTTCATGAATGATCTCATCTGGAGCTACCTCTTTTGCATCCTCCATTGTAGTGTCTTCATCTTTAACCATCTCATTTACTTCGGCCAACGCACCAGCCTTATCTTCTATCTCCTCATGAGTAGCTACTGCTGCAACATCTTCATCATTGAACACATCTTCGGCATCAGCCTTGTGGGCATCTGAAGAATTAAAAAATGTTCGTTGGTACCCGGATCAGCAACATATACACATAAATAAAAACAAAGGAAGAAAGTGGATAAACAAAGTGAAGTTCGAAAAAAAAGTGACACCCATAAACAACTAAGCAATATAACTTCCTTGATCCCTTGATACTAAAAGCTCCAGAATTGAGGAAATAAAGAAGGGAAATACCTTCATCAAGCTGCAGTCCCCAAACAAACTCTTCAATCTCAGTGAAGACAACCTTGCCTTCTTGTGATTCATCAGTAGCAGGGTTTTGCTCGTCAGCGGTCTGACTGCTCTTAATATTGGTGGCAAGACGAGCAATTGCTTCAGGGCCAACTAGAGCCTTCTCTTGCTTTTTCAGTGCCAACTTTCTTGCTCTTTCAACAGATTTCTGGAGGTCATCCTCTTCATCCTCGTCCATACCCATAACATTAACTTCCTCATCAGCAGCAGAAGGAATTGTTTGTCCTAATCGTAATGCTTTAGATGCCTCCTCCGCTTTAGCTAAAGCTGACTGATATGCTGCATTCCTCATTTCTGCCTCGGATCTCTCTTGTTCTTCTCTGGCCTTCCTTCTACTGTCACTCCTAGAACCAAGATCACCAGTGCCTAACCCTGTGGAGATGGCTTCTGCTTCAAGAGCATTTATATCCAACTTATCCTTCTTCCTCAAGGATTTCTTCTTCTTTGGCTTCTTAAACTGAACCATTTCTTCTTGAGTATAGTAATCAGACGATATTCTTCCTGATGAGTTTAGTTCTTCCTTACGATTATTTGTGGAAGCACCTTGTAGTCTCCTACGCAACTGGAAAGATGACAAAAGTAAGCTGAAAATTAAAACAAAAAATATGGCAGGACAAGGTCCCTTTGAATTGCTCCGGAACACCCTGAGAACAACAGGAAACAACATACCTCCTCCAGTTTTTTCTCTGCTTCACCACTGAAATTCCCCCTACCATCCAAGGTCAGTCCCTGGAAATAAGTACCAAGGTTAGAAATATACTTCTATGAATAACTTTTACTTTATTAAGGGAGGACGCCTTTCATTTGAGTTGAACATAAAAAACTAAACATCCAATTGTAACATCACATCCATACCTCATCTTCTGGTTCATCATATTGAGGAAGCATCTTTTTCTCTGCCATAGGGTCATCATTGAACCTTAAGGGTATACAAAGGTTAGCAATGAGTCTACATGTTAAAACTGTTCAATAGGCAGCTAACAAAGTATTACACTTACTTGTCATCATAAGTGCCCTTCGGCTTCTTCGCGGCCTTGTAAGCTTCATTACGGCGCTTCTGCTCCCCAATTTCGACATTTTCAAGCATATCGACCTCTGTCAATTAGACCAAAAACCTCTGTTACACAAAACTCAAGTCGTCAATATGTATTCTTGAGATTAAACAATGGAGCATGACAATTCCATGAACTTTTACCATAATTGATGTCGCCATCAGCAAGAATACTCTGATCTTTAAGAGTCAAAACAACTGCTCCACCTTCCATTACCTTGTCAAGGCCATCTAAAACTTTAACTCCAGCTAAATCATCTGTCAAGTTGCAGTCTCACAATAAGTTAACTGTCATGATAAGGTAACACTATGATTTTTTGGAATCTAAAAAAAAATGCAAGAAATGAGCATGAAGCAAGCATCTCAGAATTACACCTACAAGACTGTACTTGTATAAACAGCGATTAATTCGGAGGGGTAAGACTAAATAAAGGAACTGATCATACGTGAATGGTTATGGCTCTGCTCTTCACCATCACTTCCTTCTTCACCGATGTTATCCTGTAGTAAGGTTATGAAACCTTGTCAGGCAATAAAATAAAAAACAAAACAAAAATACAAGCAGTGAATAATTCATGACACAAGATCAACAAAAGAACCTGCTCCTCGAAATTTTTTGACAGCCGCTTGGCTTTTTCCTTTGCAGCATTCCTTTTCTCCGCAAGCTTACGGTTATTGCTTACCCAAGACAGGATTTCTGAACCAGTATCTATTTTCTTTGTTCTTTGTTCTTTCATTCTGAGTAAAATAAGAATTACTAAATATGATTACTAAATTGAATGCCAAAAGAAAATCTGTGAAAACTTTCTAAAAGAAGTAAACTAATAGAAACACACACAAAAAATGTTCCACTGTAGTGTGTTGCTGGATAACAGTACTAATGACTTATCAACCCATCCAGTACACAAATAAATAAATAACTGGGATTAGATTGCACGTTGACAAGAACTGGTATAGCAATAGTGGCAATTTAAGACACAGCAGGTAGGATGCATCTGAGTGAAAACTAATAATAGCAGTTTTTTCAGTTCAAGTAAGAAAAGAATCGATTCTTCTGGGTTTGCAGGTCCTCAAAATGTGTTGCTCCAATATAATTAAACCTATGTAGATAGTAAGACAACATATGAAATATTAGTGCTCACTGACTATGGTATGAGGAGATGCGAGAGCTTCCTGCAACTCAGCTTACAACATCAGTTACTAGAAGGTGAATCACAATAGTGATTGGCAGAAAACCGGTTCACCAAAGAGATTTTAAATTCCTTTGCCAGATTGAAGAGCAAAGAAAATGGAACAAACGAAGAAAGCATAATGGGTTCATGAATAAGTTACTTACTTCATAATACGGTCCCTAAGTTCAGATGTTGATGTTTGTCCTCCACTGGAAGAGCGATCAGCATTTTGCTGCTCTTCATCAAGAAAGGACACTTTTGCTCGTGACGAAAATTTGCTATGTCCATCATGTTCCCGGTCCACCAGAACTTTATCATCCTTGGCCTTCTTAGGATCGTCTTGCAAGTCATCTTTGCTCCCATCTCTATCCCTTGATCGCTCTTTACCTTGATCTACTTCTCTTTCTCGTTCTTTTGTCTTCTCTCGTCCCTTCTCTCTGTCTCCATCTTTATCATTTTCCCTAAGCTTCACCCGAACCTTAAGCTTGTCATTCTCTTTCTCTCTTTCCTTATCCTTTGCTCGGTCCCTACCTATAGTCTTCTCCTTGCTCCTCTCTTTATCAGTCTCTCTCTCCCTATCTCTATTTTTTTCCTTCCCTCGGTCTTTTCTGTCCTTATCTTTATCTCGTTCAAGCTCCTCTCCAGATCTATCCAGGTCGTGATCTTTATCCTTTCCCTTTACATCCTTGCTCTTTTCTTTCCCCTGGTTCGTGAACTTCTCATCTGAAACATCATCAATATTCTTCCTAGATCTATCTCGTTCTTTCGCTCTATGATCCGTGTCTCTGTCTTTCTCATCTCCTCTGCTACTTCTCCTCCTATCCTTCTCTCTTCCATAATGCTTGTTAAACTTTTCAACTCCACTTAGCCCCAAATCATCAACTAATCTCGGAGAATCATCGGGATCGGCCTTCTCTTCCCGACGGTCATGCCTAGACTCAAGATGCCTCTCATCCATTACTACTACTGAAATAAATAAAATATCCATTACTAGTTCACAAAAAGTAAAATGCCATATTATAACACCCAATCAACCACACATCTACACCACGATTATAGGCTTACAATCAACACAAACAGCTAGCTCTCATGAAATGGAAACAAAGTTTATCAATCACAACTATAGCTTTACAATTACTTCGAAGGATGTCCATTCCATTACTGTCAACATGATCCATGACCCGAAAGGCACATTCCCTCTGTTTTTACTATTTACAAGCAAAAACATTGTCTGGATTGATCACCATTGTGGATCAAATTTAGCTAACATCGAGAAGCTAACTAATATATTACAGCTAACAACGAATTACTTAACTGCAAAGAGAGACCAGCTATAGCTAATTATGAATCAGTTCCAGAGCAAATACTTATCGGCAAAGATAGGACCATTACAACAACAACAACAACAACAACAACAACAAAAAACAAGTAGTCAATAATACTCACCAGATGGAGAAACAAAGAGAGTGGCGGTGGTGTGATCGACGGCGGGAGGATGAGGCAGCTGTTGCTGCTGGATACCTGAGAGAGTGACCGGAGGAGGAGGAAGCAGCGGCCAACGGCTATCGCTTGTTTCGGGACAAAGACTCAAAGAGAGGACGAGTCGAGCTTGGGCAGCGGGCTGTCGGGTTTTGGGAATTGGGAGAAAGGAGGTAGTGGCTGTCTTAGACTCTTGGTTTGTCTTTGAGACCTTTAGGTACGACGGCAACGGTGGCCGGACCGTCGGAGGACGGGAGGAGGACAATCGATCCCCTTCTTCCGTTTTTCCTTGGCCGCTGCCAAGGTTTGCGATTTGGTAGATGCCTGAACGGAGGACGAAGGAGGAAATCTATACCGGAATTTGCTAAATTACACATTTAGTTACTTAAATTATCAAATACGTTATAGTTACCATTCAAAAACCTTTCCTTTTCTCACTAGTCACGCCTTGTTTTATGGTTGATCACTAACCGCCTAATTTCGTTAAGTTCCTCATAAATTGCACTCATCTTAGTCATCTATAACTATTGATCGTTAAATGGATGACGTCTTGACTAAAAGAATAATAAAATTTTATATTACAACTTTTTTATTTTTCACCTCATTTTTTACGGGACCGGACCATGTGTTCGCATTATACGATATTATTAATTAATAAGGATATTTTATCAACTACAAGTAATAACGTCTTCCTCCACCCTATCCTCCGGAATGAAATTAGTTGCTAACCCTAGCACCATACTAACAATTTTTATAGTCATTAGATTAAATAATAATCCAAGGGTTACAATTAGTTGGAGGTTATCTTTGTCAATTACAAAATTAAATCCCCTAACCCTAATTATAAAATCACTCAGTCACTCTCATCACTCCGCAGCCTCTTTCTCACAACTTCCTCTACCACGAAACTGCCTATTTCCAAAGACTAGTTCTAGAATGGAGGCCACGTTGCTAATCATCTTTGCCGACGAGGAACAAGAGAGCAAAACGTAGGGAGAAGCGGTTGTTGGTTCGCGGTTGAGCGTGTCTCATCGTTCCCTCGTCGACAACATCCGTTACGCCGGTTGGTAGAGAGAGCCGACGAATCGGCGGCGGTTGCTAGCAGAGAAAGCTTCCCATCGGAGAAGATCGCATCGGCTGAAAGTAGGTGATAGGCGCTTCGCTTCTCCCGCGTGGAACTCCCTGTGATGCCACCACAGCCAGTGCCTCCCTCTCTCCTTTGCGGTTTATTGTTGCAACGCCGTCCTCTGCTCCGCTCTAAAGTTGTTGGGGGTCGGGTCTTCGGATTGGAGCGGTGGATCTGCGGCAGTCCTTGAGTCCCATAATCTATTGCGGGGATAGGAATGAGATTCTGAGTTGTGATTCTTGGGTTATCATTAGTGATTTGTGCTTATTTCAGATTTCTAATGATCGCGAGTACAAATCTTAGGGGCGGAAAAATCGAGTACTGTTTGTTTCTGGAATACTAGTGTTAGTAGTGTTTTTCCATTTCCATGGGGCTTGCTATTTGCTGCCAACCAAATTGCTATTTGTCGCCAATAAAAAAAAGTATATATGTACATCTTTGGTTAAAGACTTTCACAATCTACAACATATCCAACTTTCAGAAAATGTATTGAATCAGAAAAAATCGACGCTCGCCGGAAAATCATCGGGAAAGACGATCCTCGACATAAACTGCGGACAGGCATCCATGAATCATCACTAAGCAGGTGCGTCAATTTTTTGTAGTTTCGAACAATTTTTCCGACGATTTCCAACGAACAGACGGCGGGCCAAAATTTTCCGGCGGCTGGAACCACGCCGGGCCGACAAAAATTTGTGGCCGGAGCCAGCCTGAGCCACAAAATGTTTTCGGCTCAGCCTGGCTCCGGCCACAAATTTCCGTCGGCCCGGCGTGGTTCCGGCAGCCGGAAATTTTCGACCCACAGTCTGTGTTTGGAATTTTTTGGAAAAAATCGATTTTAGGAGTTGAATTTAGAGTTTAGGAGTTGAATTTAGCGTTTAAGACTTGAATTTAGAGTTTAAGAGTTGAATTTAGCGGTTAAGACTTGAAATTAGCATTTAGGTTCACAGGAATATTGATCTAGGGGTCGTTTGGATAAGAGATTGTAATGAGTGATTTATGAGTGATTTTAAAACATTCCCTCATTTTGCAGGATTTTAAAACAATCATGCGTTTGGAAAGATGAGAGTTTTTTACCATTAGAGATTTTAAAAACCTTCAAATGTGGGTTTTTGAAATAGCTGATCACCATCAGCTATTTCACAATCCCTCATTATTTTTATTTCTTTTCCCTAATTATCCCTTGCCTAACCCAAATCTTGCCTTCTCGTCCATCTTTGTCACTCTGTCCCTTCCAAATCGTCAAAATCCAGTCCCGACCAGTAGAGAAAGCTTCGCCACTATCTGACTTGTCTCTCTCTGTATATGGAGGCTCGGTTTTAGATCGAGGAAATTGGTTCTCCTCCGCGTGACTTCTCTGTGCCCTTTGCTTCTTCCCGTCTTCTGCACAGAGGAAGGTCGGGCCGAACGACGGGAGATCGAAAGCACAAACAGTCAAACGCCAATCATCCTCGCCCATCTCAAATCGACCCCAAAAAGCCCTGATTCACAAGCCGAATCTCCGCTTGACTCCCCTCTCAGCCCTCCATATCGTCGGTGTTTGAGTCCCTACAGGTTGATTGTGTCAGCACTGGCTTGTGGTTTCAATCTTCATCGGCTTCCCTTTCGATTAAAGATCTATCCGCCTTTGATTGTGTCGGCGCATGCTTGTGGTGGTCAATTTCATAATGGTTGAATGGGTTTTGGATTTAAACCCAGCAACACAGAAGAACATGCCCAACTTATAAGACTTGATTTGGTTGAAGCAGATCGAGATATGCACAATAATAGATGGGTGGAGCATGAAAATAAAAAATGAACAGACGAACAAGGGACTGGGGAAGGAGACAAGGATAATAATGTAATTTAGAGTTTGATGTTAAAATTCCACTTCTTGATCCAAACAAGTTATTTTAAACAAATCCTACATATAAATTTCCAGGTATTTTAAACAAGAGATTTAGGCTTAAATCCCTCGTTATTAAAATCTCTCATCCAAACGACCCCCTATTATATTGTAACTAGCTTATTACCCGGCCCGTTGGCCGGATTACTGTATGTTACCCACTTGTGGAATGAGAGAGAAAGCAAGTGAGAGTGAAGGGATTGGGATTCCACTTGATTAGGACCGACCCACTAATCCGATTCTTCCCGACCCGCCCCAACCTAAAGGGTCAGAAAGAGTCAATAAGAAAATACGAACGGAGATGATTAGTCATATATCTTGACTCTTCAGAAGTGGGTTAAATAGGATCAAGGTTGGGTGAGGGCAATTTTAGCGCTAAACAGAGTTCTGGGTTGAATAACTTTACTTAGGCCTAGAAATTGGTGCTGATGCAGACTGCAGTTTTTATTATACCATCATCAATCATCATTGAATTAGTCATGGGCATCCCTCCCCGTTGTCGGTCTGAATTCTAATGATGACTTCATCCCTTGCACCAGCCATATCAGCGAGTTGTCATCTCGAGCATGATTTGCCTATGTACAAATGATACAATTAGAGTATGAAACTGGATTCAAAGAAAAAGAAAAGAGAATTCTATCACATGCCAATAAATACACACATAATAGTTGAAGCTAAGTGAAAGTCATTACTCGTACATCAATTCTCAAAAATTACAGACTAAACAATGGCTAGAATGGCACTGAAACTACCAAGAATCATGGACGAAACAACTTGTCAAATTAAATAATACTTATACTGAAACTACCTTCTAACTTGAAATAAGACATGATCACAGTTCATAGCACTCTTATCACTATGAATTGGTTGCAGCTCGTCCTTATCACTGCCTCCGAAGCTCAATTCAAACAGAATAGAGACCGTTATGTAAGATAACCATATCCTTACTGATCATAATTCCTTTCTTCACTCCATTTTTGTCGGAGAAAAGAGTTATCCCCCTCTCATGCATTTCCCTTTCCCTCTCTCTTCTCCCTCTTCTTCACAAACCGATCCCTAAACCAACAACAACACAAAAATAGCCTTCACCTCTGCCATCTCCATCTACTGAACGCGTTGGTGGCAAGACAGGACTGCAGAAGCAAAATTTTCTAAAATCAAACTAAATTTTTTGAAGGAGACTCAACCACGAAAAAAGAGTAAAGCAACCATGCTAATAGTTCAGATGGTTGGTTTTGATGTTATACGTTGCTTTTGTTATGGTCTCCAGTATATCAACTGCAACAGAGATGTTTCCTCCAATCATCTTTAGTGCACGATTTAGAAGTAAGTCCTCTTGTTTGTGTCAAACGGAAACATTCATGGGTTCTTAACTCCCCTGTTAGTGTAAATGCAGCAGCAGCAACAAAGAAGTTTGACAACACAGCAAGCACCCAGGCAAAATGATACAATGCAGTAGGTGATATGTGTCTCGAAGGTTTTGAGTTACTAAAGTTCATGTTAAAAATAAACATGAATTAAAATGGATTATTCAATTATGCAAACATCCCCTCTAATCATACAAAGATCAGATATCCAATTCCCAAACAATTAAGCCATAAAAAATCATCACACATCCACCACCTTTGATTGCCTAAATTTGGTTTTTCGCAAAGTTATGGACTCTTAAGGGTAACGTTCATGGGTAGTCTGTTTCATAACTCTAGAGAGCACATTAAGCAACCACCATCCAGACACAGTGCGGTAGGCGAATATGATTCTCAATTCACAATTTCTCACCACCGGAAGTAAGAACAGACCATAATAAGCGTAGCGTTCATGGGTGGTCTGTTTCATAGCACTATTACACAATTTGTTAAAAAAAAAAGAAATGTATTTAGCATCACGGCGGAACAACTTTTACAGGCCAACAACGACAACATGCTGCAACCACCAGAACTGGTATCACAACTCATAGGGAAAATCAAAAGATTTACTCTCAAATTAAGTAGTTACAACATCGAGCAATCGTCAAGCACATACACCATCACAAAAGTCACGGAACCTGATTCACAAATCATTCAAACATTTGAGGACATTTCTGCAAAGGTACAACTTATATGTCTTTTTCCAAGCCATTTCCATCCACATGCTAATAAATTTGCAATGCATAAAACAAACGGGCCAAAACTTGAAATTCAGCCTGTTTGACCGACCCATGCCAAATTCTAATTATTCTTTACTTTTAAACTTTCTATTTGAAAATAAAAATAGTGAAAGAAAAGAGACGACTACAATTCGCCATTTGCACATCATTTATTCGGGAATAAAACCATAGAAATTCAAAAAGAACTAAAAATGTTT